ATCCATTGAGCTTCTAGTTTTGCTGACATATCACGTCGTTTCCATGTCTTTTCGACTAACACTTTTTCACCAATTTTTAATCTTTCAGATATTCGATGATCATTATGTCGATCTTTTTGTCGTTCTTGTGTTTGAATCATATTATCTAATGCATCTTGTTTATCTGATTCTAATTTATCAATCAATATCATCAATCTATTCATTAAGGCATCATCTAAATTTTCTTCAGTGGTACTAATTGTATTCAACTGTAAATCAATTGGTAATACTGCTTGTCGACCGTACATAAGATAGAATGGAGTATAATTGGTGCTTTTATGTTTCATTGTACGATAAGCAAATAATACTGATGAAACATAATTATCCCATTCATTTTCTTGGTCATACACTAATTTAGCCAAGCATTCTCCAATAGTACGATTAAATCTTTCTACCATACCATTAGTTTGAGGGCGATATGGTGACGTCAGACGATGTTTTGTTTGGAATTTCTGACATAACTGAGCAATTACTTGATTCATAAAAGACATTCCACGATCAGTAAGTATTTCTTCAGGTGCACCATGTCGACATATAACTTCTTCATACAGGAATTTAGCTACTGTTTCTGCTTTAATATCCTTGATGGCTCTAGCTTCTGGCCATTTTGTAAAATAGTCCATGGTGACAATAATGTATCTATTCCCAGACTTCGTGATGGGTAATGGTCCTTTAATATCTAATCCTACTCTGTGGAAGGGTGCTTTTACTAGAATAGATTGTAGTGGTTCTTTTCTGACTGTTGGTCCTCTTCTTTGACAATTATCACAATTTTTAATATATTCTCTAATATCCTCAAACATTTGTGGCCAATAATATCGTTCTTTAGCTTTATGGTAGACAGCTTCTATTCCTAAATGAGCTCCAGTCATATTTTTATGTAAATTAAATAAGAGTACTTCCACTTGTTCACGTGTTATTACTCTCTTTAGTCCTTCTTTTGTTGACTTGTATAACTGTGTATTTTTAACAATGTAATGGGTTGATAATCGTTGTATGTGTTTCCGTTGAGAGGTATCATAATTGTTTGGGTATGTAAAATCAGTGAGGTATTGAATTATATCGTTATATTGTTGATTATCCATGATCTATTAATGATGTTGTGGTGGATGAGTTTTGCGCCTGTAATTCGTTAATCCTTGATAAAGTGTCAGCGTTAGCCTTAGCCTTCCCTTTACGATATTTAACCTCAAATTGAAATTGTTGTAAGATAATTTTCCATCTAATGATCCTTTTACTATCTTTTTCCTTTGTTGGCTGATT